TTTGTGCAGCGTTTGACTCAACTGAAACAGTCAAACAAGCTAGAAACTGGAAAGTTTGAATTATCAGGTCCCGCCAGAGTCGAGTATGACCAGGTTCACCGCTGATGATTTGAGGTCCGAATAAGAATGACCGCTTCTGCGTACGAGGATCATATCAATTCAGCTCTTTAGGTAGCAAGCACTAATTTTTGACCCTTATATTTGTCTCAATCAGTCAGTAGTACATTGTGTGATGGACATATGCTTGTCTGTTTTCTACTAGTGAGCGAAACTGGCATAATAATTTCGCCTTCCGAATCCAACAGTGGTTTCATTTCACCTCTTCAGATTGTGAAGAACTGACTTGTAAATTTCATTCATTAGACAGCCAAGTTGATCATCATTCCACAAGTAATCCGGATACTTGATTTCAGATTGCCACCTAGCCTGAAGAATGTTGAACAAATTACAATCATTAGTGTTATTCATGCATTTATAATTACTGATCCCGTCTCTTGCGCACCAACCAATCTTTCGATTGCCAGATAAAAGGGAAACAACTAGATGTATGTGGGACTGATGGTGAAATTTGGGAAATGGTGTAGTCTGGGGATGATGAGCAGTGGTCATATTGCAAAAGACCCTAGAGAAGAGCAAACTGTGAGATGTGCTTTCCATTCCGAATGTTCCGAAGCAACTATAAAAGTCACTTGCTGTTATTCATTTCAAATGACATCAAATTGAATGTCATTGTTCTTCCTTTTGTTATCTATTTTCAGTGAAATGGTGTTTCAGATGACAAAACTGAACCTCATCATATACATCAGTCTGTGCATAGTCAATTTTGAAGCGATTGAATCAGATGAAATTCCCTATAACATAGAGGTTGATAATTCAGGTAATTCGAATTAATTCTGTGTGTAATGACTGAATCAATTTATTGTTTCACCGCTTATACCACATCTAAATAAATCACTCCTTGGAATTCAGGATACCTCATACTGGTGAGTGACTAACACACTCCAAGATGAAATTATCCTACATTCCAGTGAGGATTACTGACCTCTGTGAGGACACATCCTCATCGATGATAAGATTGGGTAGTAGTGGTGCTATATTTCGCCGATTAGACGAATGGAGAATGCATTGACAACTGGATTCTCCTCTGGAGAATGAACAGTGACTGAGGTCATCTTTTCATCCGCAATCCTTTGGTCTCATTCCTGATGAGATGATATGTGCATACTAGTGAAGGGTCTCAGACTGCGTCCAAGTGTTTGTCACGTAGTTCAGTCAGTCACATCTTCTAAATGGGTCATAAACTTGGCGCACGCGTATTGGGAAGTCTTTGAAACAATCAGCTGCAGACTGTTTTCATCAGCTGTCTTCCCTAACCCCTCATATAACCTCAAAAAGTGCTGCACCTCTCATTGGAAAAAACGAATTTGTGGGAAGAAACCAACGAAGAAACTATTGTTCAAGAAATATCCAGAAGGAAACAAAGTTTGATCCGTGAAATGCAGATTCGTACATATGTCAGGGATTGACATAAGGGAAATGGGGTGAGGTGAAGAGATGAGAGGTTGCCAACATTCTATGAGACGTGTCGAAGAGAACATCATCTGATGGGACAATTTGGAGATGAATTATTGAAATCATCTTCCACTTCCAACACTAAAGAACATCATAATTATAAGTGTGTTTGCTCTACGCAAGCTTTTAACATGACAGTAACGAATCGCTCTATTGTAATGTCTGGCATAATGTCTTGTCCATGCTCATATATCTATTCAGCCAATTACCTTGATAATAAATTTCGCTTCATGATCATCTAAATGATATTTGTTTCGCTTCGTATCTTCAGCAGTATACAGTTGAGGAGATGACATATTGCTCTTTGTCAATTCAGATTAAACTAATTCACTAACCCTGAAACTGCCATCCTTTACCTTTACTTGCCTAAATTTGGTGTCGAGCATATTGACCAACGATTCAGTGTCTCGTATGAACTGATAACAGTCGAAATCAGTCAATCTATAAATTCCGCATAATTCGTATTTCGACTTCAGAGAGTGCGATAAATAGTGTGAAAGTACAAACACTGCATTTCTACAAATCTCTGAGCACTGATTCTTCGAAAAGGAAATATCCTGCACGCGGAGCAAGATAAGTTAGGACTCTCTTATTTTGACAGTAACATGTCAACCTGGATATTGTATGTCCAAGAAAGCACTCACTATAACGATATTATGGTGAAGAGAAAGGAAAGCTCAGCAAGGATGATTTCATGTCACAAGCTGTACAAGCACACATTCACACAAAAAATATGCAGTTCCTCGAGATTCTGAAATACGCTGATTATCAAATGTTAACGAGTAGTACCACGGATTGACATAATTCTGGAGAGCTGGTGGAATAAAGGGAGAAATATCGTGCCTCAGATTGACGGCTCAGTTTCGAACGCATCGGCAGCACGCGCCCACTACAGCAGCTTGAAATCAGTACCTTCCGGTTACAAGGCAGGCTAGTTCACATGCTATTTAGCCAATGTAACTCGACTCAATCAACAATGAATTCTAACTTGTATCCACCTGGTTTAAAATTCCTCTGAGTGCAAAACGATGATTACACTCAAAATACGATGAAACAGCTGATTGCCAATTATGTAAGTTATTTAGCGAAGTATGGATAATTTATACAAGAAAAAGTTAAGTGAAGTCAAATCTTCTCAGCAAGCGAAGAACGCTGGCTGGACTAGAGTTAGGAATCTGAGGATCACTTGAGTTGTATGAGTCCTCAGGTGTAGTTATGCAGTCAATTGATTTGTTACGACTTTGATGTTCAACAGAATTTCTGTCTGCAGTCCTAGTGCCAAGTCTTGTTGATTAATGTTCATGAAAATCAGCATAATGGCAGATTCTGGTTGACAATATTGACTAGCAGTTATGATTTGAAAAATGAATTAGAACTGATGATTTATTGTATTGCCGGTGGCTAAAGAGTGAATGAGCATGCTGCTTAATTTGAAATTCGGTGGTTTCATCTCATCGGATGTTCTCTGGATTGATCCACTCCAAAACAGTTTATTGGTCAGTATTCAGGACGACGTTTGAGTGTTTCATCTCTTCTCACCACAGTAAACTTGGAAATAAGAATGACATTTTGCAGTGACATCCTTTAATTTGCAAGATGTTTAGATATTCATGGAATAGCCATGGACTGACGAAATACCACTGACATAGAATTTGCTATGAATATAGGTGGAACATAATTCACTATTGCTGCGCGATTTGAATCAATGACTTAAAAATTCTTATTCTTGATCTCTATCAACTGCAAATGGCAACTGATCACGAGAACATTATTATTATTTCACATCAGTCACGAACTAAGTCTACTTGTAGATAATTCAAACATTTCCTCAAAACCAAAAAGATGTGTCTTTGTTTATTTTATTTCAAGGTAAAAAACAAGTTATAACATTTGCGAGAGCTACGTTCAATTTGAATAGTGATTGTCAAGGGTTCTAACTGCACATGGACAGTTGACATGAAGCCAGCAACAGATGTTGAGGAAGTAAAAGGAGGAGGAACTCGTGACGGTTCTCTGTGAGTTTTCTTCTTTTTGCGATTTATATGTTCAATTATATTTTAATTACCTGACAATGGTTTCATAAATATGCCAACCTTATTATCAAGAATGCTGCCTACATTTTCGAAAGAGCTTTCTATCGCCTAGAAAGCTGAGGCCTCTTTGCACCGTTATTGTATTGTGTGTGCGGTATCGTTCTTGTGGTGTCAAATACAATGGCTTCATACCACATGTAATTCTTGTGAAGAAATTTATACACTGTGTGGGTATGGTATTATAAAGAACATTAATACCAACAACAGTAGTGTTACAATTAATTGAGATATGCGGTTGTTGATCGACTCATATTTTTGGCTGATTCTTCTGAATTGTTTAGCCCACTCTTACCTCCATGGACTCCTCAAAATCAGGCTGAGTCATATTACGTAGAGCAATTTAGGCTGAAAGTAAAGTTGTAGGTGTGCTGCTTTTGACTTAGATAACTGACATGATTACTCGCAAGCAGTTGGCCAAACAGTTTTCATCTAATACTGAACACGCTCATCAATATTCGCAACCTTCTAGTTACACATAAACCAGTGTAAAAGCAGATTGAATACCATCAGACGTTATGCTGGTTTGGAGAGAAAGGTGTGTGACCTCAACTTTAAGATATTCAGCATGGATTTCGTGTGAAGAGACAAACGTCAGAAGGAACTCATGAAATGTCTTAATTGGTATATGAATTGCAAAATCCTCCTCATGTGGCTGAACGATCGTCCATAGGTTCTTTTTTCCTAAAAACACACAGGTATGCATAGGTGATAGCCTCAACCTAACTGGCACCCGTCCAATTCAGGATGGCCCATGCAAGCACTAGTCGGTAATAACCAGCATAATGGCAGATTCTGGTTGACAACATTGACTAGCAGTTATGATTTGAAAAATGAATTAGAACTGATGACTTGTTGTATTGCCGGCGGCTAAAGAGTGGATGAGCCTGCTGCTTCATTTGAAATACCGTGGTTTCATCTCACTAGATGTTCTCTGGATTGATCCACTCCAAATCAGTTTATTGATCAATATTACGGTTAAATCCTCACAATATATTCTCTTGTCACTACTGTAAGGTTGCAGATAAGAATGACATGTTCCAGTGGTCTCCTTTACTTTGCAAGATGTTAAGATATTCATGGAATGGTCATGGACTGACAGAATACCACTTGCATAAAATTTGCTACGAATATAGGTGAAACAAATTCACTATTGCTGCGGATACGAATGGGTGACATAAAATTCTCATTCCTGATCTCTACCGACTGAAATTCAAATCTTAACTGACCATTGGATAATTAGTTATTTCACGTGAATCAAGAACTTAATCAACGTGTAGAAAATTCAAACGTTACCTGTAAGTCACTAAAATGTGTCTGTGTTTATTTTATTTCAAGGTAAAAAACAGGTTATAGAATTACCGGGGGGCACATTCACTTTGAATGATGAATACGAAGTTATTGTGCAAGGTTCTAGCTGTACATGGAGAGTTGACATGAAGAAAGCAACCCAGGTTGAGGAAGTAAAACGAGGAGGAACTCGTAACGGTTCTCTGTGAGTCTTCTTTTATTTATGATATATATGTTCAATTATATTTTAATTACCTGACAATGGTTTCATAAATATGCCAACCTTATTATCAAGAATGCTGCCTACATTTTCGAAAGAGCTTTCTATCGCCTAGAAAGCTGAGGCCTCTTTGTGCCGTTATTGTATTGTGTGTGCGGTATCGTTCTTGTGGTGTCAAATACAATGGCTTCATACCACATGTAATTCCTGCGAAGAAATGTATACAATGTGTGACAATAGTATTATAAATAGCATTAATAACCACAACAGTAATGTCAGAATTAACTGAGATGATTAGTTGTTGATCGACTCATATTCTTGGCTCATTCTTCTTCATTGTTCGCCCCACTCTTACCTCCATGGACTCCTCAAAATCAGGCTGAGTCATATTACGTAGAGCAATTTAGGCTGAAAGTAAAGTTGTAGGTGTGCTGCTTTTGACTTAGATAACTGACATGATTACTCGCAAGCAGTTGGCCAAACAGTTTTCATCTAATACTGAACACGCTCATCAATATTCGCAACCTTCTAGTTACACATAAACCAGTGTAAAAGCAGATTGAATACCATCAGACGTTATGCTGGTTTGGAGAGAAAGGTGTGTGACCTCAACTTTAAGATATTCAGCATGGATTTCGTGTGAAGAGACAAACGTCAGAAGGAACTCATGAAATGTCTTAATTGGTATATGAATTGCAAAATCCTCCTCATGTGGCTGAACGATCGTCCATAGGTTCTTTTTTCCTAAAAACACACAGGTATGCATAGGTGATAGCCTCAACCTAACTGGCACCCGTCCAATTCAGGATGGCCCATGCAAGCACTAGTCGGTAATAACCTTGTGTGTGATATCAATCAACGGTCTCCACTGCTTATATCCAACCACCTCGTTTCTTTTGTGCACAATCGTTTGGCGACATGTTCGTCTCTGTCCCAGACGCATTCACTTCTGTGCGGAACAAACAACACTAGAAGTGATAATATATCTACAGTCACGTACACAAATGCCTCTGATTCTAGAAATGTGGTTTTATCTTCTCTACAATGCATTTATGAACATTGGATTTAACACAACTGATTCTGATGTGTACTCATGACTTAATTCTCATCTCTCATTCTCTCCCTCTTTCTCCAGGATGTGTAATGGCTGGAGTATTCATCAACCCAACACGCCAATACCTGATATAATAATAACTAAAAAGAGCACATAGAGTACGCCGTGCAAAACAGTATCGGAGATGCGAGAAAATGGCAAAATTACAAATAATATCTACGGTAGAACTCAACAAATGTTTCAAATGTGTTTATTCAAAAACTCTTCTCATATGTTAGTAAAACTGGATACGCTTTGTTTTCTGAATACTGAGTATTTGTCTTCCTCTTTCTGTAGATTAGATCTTCTTCAATAAATGTTTATTCATAAATTTCTTTCGTGTTATGAACAAATATGAAGTGTTCCAGTATGCTTGGTTATCACTGAATGGTTGATATCCGTACGCTGTGTGTCGTTTATGTGGCGCTTGTTTTCATTCTGAAAAGACAATTACAATATGGAACCACCGAAATCTCGGGGGAATGCGACATGCACACTGGATTGATTATTCCCGTACAAAACTAGTGTGTGTCGGCAAATTCGAATAATCCCCATGCAGACATCGAATAGAGACAGAGCACATAGTTCAGATCATTGACACTTCTGGTTGAAGCTATTTTCCGCTTTTTATGTACAATCACATTTATACACAAATTCGTTTTCATGAAAGAGGATGACAGCATAAGTGATCAGCCCCTTCATACTGCATGCGTGGGTCTGACGACTTTGAGTGCTATAGCTAACATTGTTCACATGCATTTTGTTCAAGGTGGATTTAGTAACGCACGGTTTACGTGTTCGATTTTGCGAATTGACACTGGCTAAGATACTGATGGACTGCCACTGATAATAATACTTTTACCATGTTTGCTTATAAAGGTAGCGATAAGCACATAACAGTCTCGTATAGTGCGGACATTTTATGCTTCATTCCTAAAAAGACGACAGCTGCGAGATTTTGAAATAATCGTGAAGTGATTTGTCTGTGCGTTGGTGGCATAGTGGTTAGGACTCTTGCCGACCATGTACATGGTCCGGGGTTCGATCCCCTGCTAACGCACACCTGATATCTATGGTTGGCCTGGAAAATTTGCGCTACTGATATCCATGCTGAAAATTGCACAGTGGTACCAAAAATACAGTGTGGAATCAAGCTGTAAATCAAAATAAACCCACACCTATCAATATGTTGACATTGTGTTTACTTTCAGCAATGTGCTGAGACGTGCCGCTGATGGTCTGAGTTGAATCTCTTACATGTAGACTGTAATAAAGATATTCAGGAATCCTCACTGACAATCGTTCCGCTGTATTTCTTATTCGCTTGCAATATTAAATGCGAGTGAATTCATTAACAAAACTGGAATCACTGAGAATCTGATTATGGTCTAGTTGTGAACATGTGGTTGAACAGATCACTTTTGCTATTGGGTGGATGCTAAATATTTCATCTTTCGACATACATGAGTTGACCTTTTCACAACGAATCAACTCCACTTGATATGCTGATGGCCTAACTGTCTCACTGCCAGTAACGGCTTGGCAGTGGTCGTAGCTAAGCGGTCTCACAGTAAATCCCTCCAAACGACCGACAGTTTACTTCAACAGAATGCACAAACGTGATCTTCGGGGACTGGTTTCCTCAAAAGATGCTTGAAGATTAGCATGGATTTAAGTGATAAATTGTTAAGTTAATACCTAGATATGGTCCTTTTCTCTTACGTTCCTTCATCATCACATGCATTGTCGATTTCTAAGTAAACCTTAAATCTCACCGATTGTACTAATCAGATACGAAAATCCGGTAGGAATCACTCAACCTCTAAATTCTGAATTTATGCACTGTCGCAGCCCGCTGACCGTTCTTTATTACACACAGCAAATTCATATTTTCTGTACTGATTAGGAAGAACCAAGCCATAATGTCATTAGTATTCACGGCTGTGTGGAAGGCAAGTGATTTGACCACAGTCACTTGAAACCATGTGAGAAATTTTCTGAATCCAAACTCCTAAACCTCCTTATTCACAACTATCCTCGTCTTGCATCTTGTCGCTTAGGACCAGAGTAATATATGGACGATAACTTTGCTCATGCAGCTGATTACGAAGCCTTAATGACGCTCTATTTGTACAAGCTGTGTTCAATGCTTCACGGTTGGTGTCAAGATTGGAAATAATAATCTAATTTCTGATAAGCATCCGGGATTCCATTCTTTTTAGGAGGTCGCAGATTACAAAGTAGCATATTTCTCGGTGTTACACACAGTTATCGACGGTCATTGGGGGCTAAGGATCGCACATACACACTTCATCGAATTGACAATGCAAAAAATTTCGTAATTTCAACTGATTCGATGACGCCTTAACTCAGTCATCGATATTGCGTTATATTCTACTGGACACTAGTTAATGTCTAGTGAGATGGGTGTGTGTCAAGTTCTATCCTTGATGACGAAACCGAGATACAAGTCTTCCCGCCGATCGCCTCCAACCATGTCATACCAACAACTATCAGCGTTTCTTGATGGTACGTCTACTAAACTGGTGGTCACTGTGCAAACTTGATTGAAGGCTTTCAGTCTGCATGGAAAATAAAACAAGTCACAAACAACGCAGCAGATACTTACTAGTGTCCAATCAAAAATATTTGTTGCTTCCTGATTATGATGGTTTGTTTACACGGTTTGTAAGAAATATGATGGCATATACTGGTTAGATGCGCTAACATTTTCTCTTCTTTCGAAGAAATTGAATAAGTGATGAATCGTGCAGACAAGCAACATGTCCACGAGCGATTATTACTTTCAAACCAGCAAATGATGGACATTTAGGAAATGTAAACAAGGTGTACGCAGACACAGAATACCGTATATTTGTATTTTGTATGCAGGCGATTTGCGCTACGCCAATATCAGTGTTAGGCAGGTTCACCACTTATGTCTGAGTTTATTGTAGGATGGAACATCAATCAATTTCTTCTTATCCCTTACTCCAGCCTCCCGAATCATGTGTTTGCTTTTCTGGGTTGATCCCCCAGCTCAAACCATGTGATGCTCTCCACTACTTCACTCTACTCAGGCAGGCAGCATTCTATGTCAAACTCTATTTTATGTGCATCAACAAGCAACTACATAATTATCAATACTGGGATTATAAGTCATTTGATTGCCAGTATTTCAATAGGAACACGCTTTTCAAAAGTGCACACTTTTCTGCTCATTATACTCCAAAACGTCAGTCGTGATGCATTCACAATCCATCCTGGTGTTGTTGTTTCACTCTGTGCACAATTTTTATGTGCGTCATATTCAACAGTCATCTTGTTTTCATAATATTCTCTGCTGACTATTTCATTGTTCAGCTTAGATAATTACCTACATTATCTCACTTCATATCGTTGATTGCCTATCATAGTGATTCATTGTTTTCCTCATCACCTAATGACATATGTCATTCATTATTCTTCGCCTGACATGAAATGTGGTGGTAAAATGTCCATACCCCTGTTCATATTTATGCTGTTGCATAATATTGCTGCGTTGACTTCCGAGTGAAATAACACAACTTCATGTTGTCCTGTTCTCTGCATTCATCTCCAGCTGGCTCCACGATTGCTCATACGCTCTCATCCCCTCCAACTCACACGATCGCCTCCATATCAACCTTTGATCCATGCTCTAATCTTCACTTCTCAGTAGGGTACCACTGAGTTGCCTTGAAATTCTTCTTGAGTCAATGGATCTCAACTGGTTCATTTCCTGAGATTCTTGTTCAGAATGACTTCTGGGCAGCTGGCCATCCGAACTTCAGAATGGAAGTGGCGATCAAAGTCTGTAACTGCCTTTCTTATAGGTTAGAAGTGCACGTATGGTTTGTCTCACGCCACCAGT